CCAGAAACACCCCATCACATACTGATGGAGTGCGACGCTGTACATCACAAAAGATTGAACATACTGGGAACACACCAGCTGACTGTGGAAGAAATACCACAGCTAGACCCCCTCAAAATCCTAAAATTCCTGAAGGAATTGAATCTCGAAAGGCTGCTATGAACAAGAAATCCTTGATATAGCAGAAGCAGATGGGTCACAATAGATCTAATTAGTTCGCAGCGCATCTGTCACCATCCAACCTACCAATACCAATACCAACCTGATTATACAGATTATATTTTAATAGGCCAGTCCCAGCTTCCTGCTAACTTATATATATCCACATTTAGCATAGTAGAATATCCTGAGCTTGCATACTCTTACTAATCGATCTCATTTACTCAACTTTCGGCCACTCTCTCGTTATTGTTTTTTAAATTATTCACTATGATACATTAAACCGTGAAATTTCAAAGGCAAATTGCAGATTTGTCTGAAGGTGGAGTCCTTCCTCATCAAATTTCTCATGTTCCTAGTTTTTGGGGTGGACAATCAAGACCGAAATGACTTGTTTTGAGAACAATCTTCAAATCTCCAATAACAACGGTGAGTGTTGGAGGTCTCACACATCCAACTGTCATTCGACCTCAATGAATCCGATATCTTTTGGAGGGCCTATTATAGATGCTGATCCGAAAGAAATTAGTGCCAGTGGGGTTTATTCTCTATGGTATCGTCTATTTTGGTTTGTGTTGATTTCATCACCCCAGATGTAGAAGACTCTGTCTGGATTTTTCATGCCTTGAGCTGCATTCTGCTTTGCACGCACAGCTCCGTTCCAATGGAAAGCTTCCAAGTGAAAGTAAGAATGGAACAGCATCGCTAACTAAAGCATAGTTTCTTACTTCGTCTTAATTCAGGAAACATATATTCTACTTTCTCTCTCTACACAGATTGCAGATTCGTCTGAAGGTAAAGTCATTCCTCATCTGGTTTCTCATGTTCCCAGCTCTTGGGGTAGACAAATAAAATTGAAATGACTATAGTTCCGAGAACAATCTGCAACAACAACAATGAGGTGTCAAGTAACTAATTGTCGACCTCGATGAATCGGATTCCTCCTGGAAAGCCCTTTAGAGTTGACAGAACGAAAGAATTAGTGCTAGGAATGTAGTGGCGGTACATCCTGTATCAAAATGGTACTCCATCGCACAGCTCTATTCCAATGGGGGGGAGTATTCAATTTAGGAGAAAAGCTGTATAATACTATGCAAGTATAGGTCATGTCACTCTTTGAATAAAGATAAATCTCTTCCGCTTGTTTGCTAACTGAGTGAAGCAGTTTCCTGATGCCTTGACTAGAACCTAGAATAAGTCTTTCGACATTTCACATCACGCAGATTGCAGGTTCGTCTGAAGGTAACATCTCTCGTCAACTAATTTTCCATGTTCCCAGCTTTCGAGGTGGAGAATCAAGAGCGAAATGACTAGTTCTGAGAACAATCTCGTAATCTCCAATAACAACGGTGAGTGTTGGAGGTCTCACGCATCCAATTATCATTCGACCTCAATGTATCCGAAAGAAATTAGTGCCAGTGGTGTTTATTCTCTATGGTATCGTCTATATTGGTTTGTATTATCTCCACCCCATATGTTGTAGACTCTCTCTGGATTTTTTATGCCTTAAGCTGCATTCTGCATTGGAATGACCTTAAGCACCGCTCCATTCTAATGTAAATCTCCCAGATGTCGGAATCTCCAACAACAACAGTGAGGTGTCGGGTAACCAATTGTCATTCGACCTCGATGAATCGGATCCCTTCTGGAAAACCCTTAAGAGTTGCCGAAACGGAAGAATCAGTGCCAGGAATGTGGTGGCAGTACATCCTGTATCGAAATGGCCTTCCATTGCACAGCTTCATTTCAATGGGTAGTATAGTATTCAAGTTAGGAGAAAAGTTGTATAATACTATGCAAGTAGTTCATGTAACCTTCTAAGTATAAAAAAATATCTATTGCTTGTTCAGCTAACTGAGTGATGCAGTTTCCTGATGCCTTGACCAAATCCTAGAATCAGTCTTTCGACATTTCATATCACGCAGATTGCAGGTTCGTCTGAATGTAACATATGTCGTCAACGGATTCTTCATGTTCTCAGCTTTTGGAGTAAAAAATCAAGACCAAAATGACTAGTTTTCAGAACAATCTCCAAATCTCCAATAACAACGGTGAGTGTTGGAGGTCTCACGCTTCCAACTGTCATTCGACCTCGACGAAAGAAATCAATGACAGTGGTGTTTATTATCTATGGTATCGTCTATTTCGATGTGTATCAATTTCGCCTCAGATGTAGAAGCCTTTGTTTGGATGTATGATTCCTTAAGCTGCATTCTGCATTAGAATGACCTCACGCACAGCTCCATTTCAATGGGAAGCTTTCAAGTGAAAGTATGATTGGAACTTCATCGTTAACTCTTGCTGGGTTCTTACTTTGCCTAGATTCAGAAAACATATTCTCTACTTTCTCTCCCAAACACAGATTGCAGATTTGTCGAAAGGTAAAAGTCATTCCTCATCCGATTTCATAGTTCCCAGAACAATCTCCAACAACAACAGTGAGGTGTCGAGTAACCAATTGTCATTCGACCTCGATGAATCGGATCCCTTCTGGAAAGCCCTTTAGAGTTGCCGAAACGGGAGAATTAGTGCCAGGAATTCTTGTCCCTGCGTGCCGGAAGCAGGAGCGGCAGGTATTGATCGCCGTCGCCTGCCCTCTACCTGGCGCTATGTGACCTCGGAGGTGGCGGAGGCGGCAATTCAGCGGCTATTTCGGGACGAGAACGAGCGCTCTATTCGCTCGAAATTGCCTTACAATAGGGCAAAACTCTTGTTTCATACACCGTTGCATTTTTTCCCCAGCAGGCAGGCAGGTATTATTCATTAAGGGAAATAATTGAGTGTGGATTTCTCGCGAGAACCCGTATTTCACTAGTATACTAAGTTTCTGAGTGGAAATATCAACTGTTTAATACCATCTGGATAACAAAACATAATATTTTCAAGGATAAAGTATATTTGACTCACCTTTCAACTTAGACACGAAGATTTGAGTTAATAAGCGATATAACTAATTCATTGCTAGTATATCATGTTCCTACTCATATTTTTGAAGACCTTCAGAGATATGGCTCTTAGTTTTCCCAATAAAGAAGGGAATCTACTGTAGAAGTATATTTTATCTTAAAGTGGAGTGAAGTAGTTTAAATACAGGGTGTTTCACAGGTAAAGGGAAATATTTCAATAGTAGATAGGGGTCACCAAGGTGGTTCTGGAAATACCATATTTGATAGGTCTTAGAGTTTTCATAACGGATATACAGGGTGATTTTTCGATTTCGAATAATTATTCATTCGTCTATAAATATTGAACTACCCAGTATATTTTTCTAAAATTTGGTATGGAGCTTAAACTTGGGACGTTGAATTCATTCACCTATCGGGCGAAGTGAAAATCCAGGTTCGGCTTCAGGAAAAATTTACATTTATTCGAAATATTAGAATAACACACTTCAAGTTCAAGCTCCATACCAAATTTTAGAAAAATATACTGGGTAGTTCAATACTTATGGACGAATGAATAATTATTCGAAATCGATAAATCGCCCTGTATATCCGTTATGAAAACTCCAAGACCTATCAAATATGGTATTTTCAGAACCACCTTGGTGACCCCTATCTACCATTGAAATATTTCCCTTTACCTGTGAAACACCCTGTATAATAAAAACCCTCCAAGTCGTCTCCACAACGTTCAATTTCAAATTCAAGAAGGGAAGGACATGTTTCGGACCCAAAAGGTATCCATCATCAGACAATTTAAAATGAAGTAAACTGGTATCATTATTTAAATTGGATAGATATTTGCTCAACGACCCCGTACATTCGGTAGCAGCAAGCAATCACCGACAGTACCTTCGCATCGTGGATGGCTGGCTATCTAGCGAATGGGGAAGACCACTGATTTTTTAAAATGACATTATCGTGAACTCTATACTGAAAAACTACCAGCGAATTAATTTTGAATTTTGTCATTCATGCTAAGACGATGGAAAAAATAAATTAGAATATGCCCATTTCAAAACACACAATTCCTGCGCCATTTGAAATGTTGTCAATTCATTGGTGTGACTGGTGCGACGTCTTATTCCCAACACGCCTATTGTCCTTGAACTGACCAATCACACTGCAACACTGCAGAATGACGAGGTATCAGAGAGAGATAGCTACAGTTCGGGACTAATACGTCACGACCCCACCATCATATTTGGCTGTTTGAAATATCGAATGAAATATGCTGATTTCAAAACGATATAGATTCGATTCCCTTCAACTTTAACTCATAATATTGATTGTACATCAAACGTAAAACATGATTCGTCACTTGAAAGAGGTTTGCACAGATTTCTTCTCTCAGTGGTCTTCCCCCCGCGCATAGACAAACTCGGCAAATTGATCCTGACTCACCCTCTATATCGATTCGTATCTAAATCACTCATAAAAAAAACATGGAAAAAATAATGGATATCATTTTATGCGACAAACAAACTCCCAGTGGAAGGATGACACCCGTCTACTGAAATGCTCCAGAACACAGAAAAGCCATCTACATATCTTATGTCCCTAGGGACATCGCCGCTGAATGTTTCCCTTGCTTAGTTTCCACGTATTTTCCATCTCCGATCCAAGGGAATCTACCTAGTTAGATGTACAAAACCTTGAAACTAATAAAATTATAACTAATGCTTTTGCGTGATATCTCAGTTATCTTTGGAAATAGAACCTTGCGATTTTTGTGGTCCTCTGCCACTTTTTTGTGTAATTGTATGTAATGTAATGTATGTATGTAATTATGTATAATTATGTATGTGTAAGCAATAAAGATGAAGATAAAGAAAGATTCGATTAACTCGGTATAGTACTACAAGGACAAATTATTATCCAGATCATATCTTTTCAGATGCGTGATATTGATAAATGACAGTCCGACGCGTCTGTCTGAAGCGTTGGACTGCGTCGCGATGCCTATCCGCGCTAAGGTTAATTAATAACGGTATTGTGAGTAATCCCCTCGGGGGTAGTATTGGAGTCACGTGTCTGCGTATGCACCACTTCGGTTCAATGGTTCCTTCCCTTTCGTTATTGTGATATACCTATACATGTATACTGAGTGTCCCGAAATTACATAGAAAGATTCCAATCACGGATTCTAGGATCAGAAATAGCACAGAATACCTTCACAAACGATAAGATTTCCTAACATACTCCGTTTTTGAGATACAGGATGTTTAAGATGGAAGTATCAATTGTTTTTATTTCTAACCCCCCTGTATAAGCTTTCATGGTGCCAACATTCAATATTGTGGAAGATTGAGAAAGCCCCAAAATTACAAAATGATTGTAATTGGGGTTAATGACAAATCTCAAAGGAAGTCTTGAAAACACCTACATTAAATTTGGAGTCAAATCGGGTTTTTATTGTTTCCTCAAAAACTAATAAGCTAGATACAAAAATCACACAGGGAATAAAAAAGTTGATATTTAAATAGTTCAATTTAATAAAAATATGAAACTCAAAAACACCGGTGGCGAACAATAACATTCACCATAAATATCGATAAATTTACCCACTGTGCGCCACTGGAAATATTATATCGAATCTAATTGCACCAGAAGAAGCTCCATATTACTATTAACGAAACCACAACGTTTCATTGAAATTGATGAAAAAGACAGTTGAGTAATGAATAAAAAACGATCTTCCATGGAAATATTATTACCCTGTACCTCGAAAACGAAGCAAGTTAGGACACATGTCCATGTGAACTTTATTTCCTGAAATATCACAAGGAATCACCCCTTGAAGTTTTTCGGTGTGATTCAGATACACCCTGCATACAGTCTGTCCACCTTAAGGACTTACCACCCCTGTATAATTGTTATTATCTGACCGATTACAAAAAACTTTTTTTTGTTGGGTAGGTATTTGAAATGTCCATCCAACAAGAGAGTGATTTTACTCATGAATTGTAATCGTGGCCAACTGCGACCAACTTTATTGACCCATATTTGAGAAAGTACTATTAGGGATTTTTTTTCACAAAAATTATGGATACTGAATCACGATCACTTGAAAAACACCTCTACTGATTTTTATTATCACAAAACATAGGGTGTCCGAAAAAACGAATTATGTTTTTTCTTTGAACATATCTGTACCGATTTTCATCATTCAAAAATACGATGTGTATGAAAAAACAATTAAAAAGACAAAAGTAGGCAATATTTTTTCATCAACTCAAAAAAAATATTAATTTGATTTTTCGAACACCCTGTGTTTAATGATGATGAAAATCGGTACAGGTATGATCCAAGTGATCCTAATTCATCTTTTTATTGAGAGTAAAGAATTATCAGGATGAAAAATATTGCTTACCTATCCTTTTTAATTTTTTCTCAGACACATTGTATATTCAAATGACGAAAATTGGTACAGGTATATTTGAAATAATTCTCAATGATAATTTATGATTATTTCTTTCTAGAAAAACAACAGAACTACATTTGCTGTTCACCTATTTGAAGAAAATGATGATTCGTTTTTTCGGACACCCTGTGTTTTATGATGATGAAAATCGGTACAGGTATATTTCAAGTGGTACTGATTCAGAATCCACCATCAAGTTTCGTGGTAAAAAATCCCTAATAGTACTTTCTGGAATATGGGTCATTGAAATTTGTCGCAGTTGGCCACGATAACAGTCCAAGAATTAGATCACTCTCTCGTTGGATGGGCATTTCAAATACCTATCCAACAAAAACAAGTTTTTTGCGTTTGGTCGGATAATAACGATTTTACAAGTATGGTGAGTCCTCAAAGTGGACACACTGTATGTAAATGTTGGAAATATTTCGGAATTTTTGGACAGAGATTCTTGTGGTGAGGACCGTTATGATATTCTGTTAAGATGTGTGGAATGTTGAATAGTCAATGTCAAAGGCAAAAGGTGCTTTATTGTTTAAGAATGAGATTCTCGTAAAAAAGCTTGAACGATCAAAATGTAAAATATGGAAAAATATCGAATAATATAATTATGAGACATTATTATGCTAAATAAATTTACAATTAGTTATACGTTCATGAATCGAAACAACATTGGAAGTCATCAGATAGAAAAAAAAAATGGAAAGTATAGGTAGTATCTGCTAAGAATTCGTCAACGGCATAATATGCCTTTTTGATCAGTAGTTTTTTGACAGTTTTTTGGAATATTCAATGTATTGAAATGACCTTGATCACATCAGGTAGGTGATTGAATAACTTGAGCTCATCATACAAAAAGGAGTTTTTAACAAGGGTTGAATTTGGTATTGATAGTCTGATATTATTAGTATCATCTTCTCCTTGTGTAATATTAGTGTTTGACATTCTCATTTGCCAATTCCTGCCGTTTCTTATGGATTAGACAAACAATTTTCAAAATGAAGAGAATATATATAGGTTACGTAATGATTCTCTGTTCCACATACATTGATTTTCAGGAATCCTTGAATTTCGCATTACATAAATATCTCAATGTTTTTTTTCCGTTATGGACACTGCCGTATATCTCAAGTGAAACTCGACAAGCGCATGATATGCACCTCGGGCTGCCCTAGTCCCCAATTCATTCGCTATGACTCTAACCCCATGGGTTCCACTCGAGATTTCATACAAATTATCATCAGTTTTACCAATCTTGTATTAAATGTGACCTCCCCACTTCAGTTGACCATCTATTTAAGTCCCAGGAATTTATTACTGTCTTTATGTTCTATAATTTCGTTTTCGACTCTTAAAGTTTGTCTAACGTATTTGAATGTGAGGAGGTAAGTTCTTTTTCGAATTGAAGGTGGCTTGATTTGCTGCACACCACTCTGTGACTAAGGAAAGATCATGGGAAATAACTTCAAATAGGTTCTGTGGGCATTGATCTGGCCATTTCAAGGTTGCATCGTCTGCGAAAAGGGTAAATGTACCAGTAATTGGTAGCCAAGAAATATCATTGATAAAAAGCAAGAAAAGAATAGAAAAGAATGTATGATATCTCGGTTATTATGCAACTTTCATTGAGGCGATATTTGGTGGATATGTATATCTCAGTTGAATTTTACGCCTCCTCATCCCACCCTCGGAGAACACCCTGTAAATATGTACTATCTTCTTCTTCTTCTTTTTCGAAACACTGATGAGCGGGTGGACACCCCTGCTCGTAGGCCTCATCATTCGGCCCCATTGTGCACCCACATGTTCCGACATTCAGCTGGGTATACCGACTTCCTTGGAAAAGTTCAGCAGTTTCCCCAGCTGAATCTCTTTCACGTCCTCTGGCCTCGAAATTATGTAGCCAAGGACAGCCCTCCTCTGATGTGTCAGTGCTGGGCACTCAGTGAGGACATGCGATGACGTTTTGTCATCTTCCAGGCACCATCTGCAAAGAGGATCATCTTTGATCCCAATAAGCTCTAGGTGCCTATTGAGGTCGTTGTGCCCCGTTAGGAACCCCACTTCCATTTCAAGGTCTCGCCTGTTGAGGGATGAAACCTCTTTTGTAAGCCTAATCGAAGGTTCCTTCAAGTGGAGCTTCGATTTTCTCATTCCTGGTGTGCCCTGCCATATTTTGAGGAATTGATTTTGCAGCTGTCCCTCTATGGTGGACATTGCCAGACTGTTTCGTATTCCCAAGATTGGTTCCGGTCCGACCAGGGTCCGTCCTCAACCGATCTTGGCCAGTTTGTCTGCCTCCTCATTTCCGGGTATCCCCGACTGTCCCGGGACCCACATGAGGATGCCTCTTTTTGATTTTGCTAGGTTTTCCAAGGCCTTTCTGCACTCGGACACCAAATTGGTTGTGATCCTATTGGATTGTAAAGCCAGTATTGCAGCTTTGCTGTCCAAGCATATAGTGATTGATCTCTGACCTATCATAGTCAGGTTTTCTTGGACACAGGTAAGTATTGCGAGTACTTCAGCCTGGAACACTGAGACATATTCCCCCTCTTCTTGTTCCTTCATTGTATTCCCCTGCACCTGAAAGTGCCCCAAAATTCAGAGCCATCCGTGTACCAGATTGACTCATTGGGAGGAGGCAGGCCAGATGTGGTGTCATCCCATTCTTTCCTCGTAGGGATGGCAATGTTTGGAGCTTTGTTGAAATTCAGAATCGGCAAGGTGTTGTCCCTTCTCATCATAAGGTTACGACAGTTTTCCTCATTCCATGTGAGGGAGTGTCCATGATCTGCTTCTGTTCCGACCCACTGGTTTGCACCGTTAAGTAGGTAAGCAGTTCCCATGGCTTCGTGTTGTATGAACAGGTGTAGAGGCGGCAGATCTAACAGAGCTTCAAGAGTCCTGGTAGGCGTCGTTCTCAGAGAACCTGTTCTTCCCAGGCAGGCCAGTACTTGGACTTTATCCAGTTCTCTTTTGGTCTTGCTCTTATTTGTACTGGTTCACCATACAATGGACCCATAGTAAGTGCTGGGCGAATCACTGCCGTGTATATCCAGTGGAGGGTCTTAGGTGTAAGAGGCTCGTCTGCATTCCTTGAAGCAGTATACAGCCTTATTAGTGCGGTTTGCAATAATGTGCTCATTCCAAGTGAGCACCCACTATATTCCTATCCTGAAATCTCCTGGACTATAAAACCGTTCTATCTGGCATCTGTAACAGTCTCACCTAGCAGGTCGATACAGAAGTATTTGCTTTTGCGTATCGCGTTTTTTAACCCAGTTCGAAACCCAAAAATGAAGTTTCATTTCGCCCATCTAGACACCCGTGGTTTCAACTGTCGATCATTATTTCGCTCGTTCTGAAAGTCCAGATCTTGTTTCTGTCGGAAAAGCGCCGGAAAATCCAGGGAAAACCGGGTGTGCCCCGTTTTTCACCCGGATCGATACGGATGGTCGTGTAATACAAATGTGTGGGGGTGAGAGGAGTCAAAAGGTAGGGTCGCGCGCTCAGATTATTCAGAGCGCGGTGGATGTTTCTTGTATCCTTTTT